GGTGCATGGGTCTTCCCCGCCCGGCCCGGCCGGCCTTTGTTATTCCGCCAACATCAGGGCGACCCACATCAACACGGACTTCGTTATAACCCCCACGCGCCACTCGCCGGAATGAGCCCAAGCAGGGGAGAAGGCTCCGCCCTGTTGAGGGCCGCCAACATTATCTTCTGCCAAAGTATCTCCCGACTGAACGATCACGCCGGTGTCCTTGGGCGCATACTATAGCCACAGAACAGCGAGTATCGCTCTGGCACGTGGTCCTGCGCCCGAGGCATGACCATGCCGGCATCGACGGGCATGTGAGCCGGAAATTGGCTGTTCCCTCGCAGCCCATCCCCCGGGCCGATCCTGCCTGGCGGCGCCCAAGAGATGGCTCCCAGCGTCGTCCGGCCACCCCCTTTGCCGGCCGCAATGATGGTCCCCCCGGATCCCATGCACCACGGCCCCCCTCCGGATGTGCCCTGTCCAAAAGGACAGACTCGCACCCATATACGTGAGCCCAGCATGGTCGCTGGTGCCTCCGGGCTACCGTGCAAACATCGCTGCACAAGGCGTGTGCCCCCCCCGATGCCCACCTGCTCCCGCCATCGCCCTCCGCGCGTCCATGGCCCATGGCCCATACCCGGGAGCCGGGCACCTCGCATCCTACGCGCATATATGCATGGGCCCCTTTGGCAGCTCCAAAAAGCCGGCCATGTCTCCACACTCGCCTGCGTCTGCTGGTCGTCCTCCGTCGGGGCTGGGATTCCCCCAAGCGCCGGGGCAGCTAAGTGGCGCGTGCTGCACATCAGCCGCCTGGGCAGAGTGTCGGCGCCGACGTCGGATCGATGAACGTCCGGGGGATGCTGTCTCCCAGGCCGCGGCCCGCCCGGCGATCGGGCCCGGCGTTCATCCGCGCATGGAGGCGTTGGAGCCGGTCTGTCCGTCTCTTCCCCCGAGGCAGGCCCATGGTGGGCACGCGCACGGCAGCAGGCAATAGGGCCGGCCCTTGTGGTGGCGAAGACAGGCCACCTCGGCCGCCGGCTCGGCACTCGCCTCCAGGGAGGCCCGCCTACCAGGACTCACCGAGCGGTCCAAGGAGCATGGCTCGAGCCACGAGAGGGGGGCAGTGAAAAAAAAAAAAAACAACAACCCAACATCCTTGTGCCTGTGCCCCTCTCATGGCCGGCACCACGGCCTCCCCAATCCGGGGTCGCCGTATGCCCGCGCGAGTCCCCTGCAAACACCTTACCACCGCACGCCCCCATCCCCCGACGGCCGGCGCCGGCGCCGCCGCCCAAGCATGGCCCATTTCGCTGGAGGCCCTCGGACGATGGCCCCTGAACCGGTTGCGGGCGAAGGCGCCACGACGGCAACCAGGGAAGCCCACCCCCGGGCCAAGGTTCCGCCGAAACCACCGCCCCCCTACACACTTCCACATGCCGGGTCCCTGTGAGCCAGGTGTGAGGCAGCACCGACCTCCCCCGGCCGGACGGGGCAACGCCCGGGGTCAGGCGGCGAAGTGCGCCTCTGTACGGGGCGGAAGAGACGCTCGCCGACGATGCGGCAGGTGGCCGTGGCGGACCAGCGCGCCCGAGGAGCAGCCCCCCCCCCCCCATGCACCCCCCGGGTGCCGGAGCTGAGGCACAGCCAAGACACCGAACCCCGAGGAGTCCCGCCAGCCAGCCAGCGCGCAAAGGCCACGGGGCAGACAAGCGCCCAGGGAATACGCTTCGATGCCGCGTAGACCGCCGCGCTGGTGCCCACATGTCGCGCGTGTAGGACCAGGCCACTCGGACATATCAAAGGACTCGACCCCGATATCGGGGCGGTCTGCTGCCCGGAGCACCACGGGCGAGGTGTCCCCTGGGACAGTGCTCAATCAACGTCCCAGTCCGGGGCACACCCCGAATCGAGGACCGGGCCCGCGAGGCAATACGCCGCATCGGAGGACATGCCTCAGGCGCCCCTGCGCGGTGTTCTCTCTCCCTCCCTCCCTCTCTCTCTCTCTCTCTCTCTCTCTCGTTCTCTCCCCGGGATCCGTGTCCCCTTCCCGAGGACGGGGACTCCCACCCGGGCGAGCGCCTCTCGAGGGCGACCAGCAGCGGCGTGTCGAGGAGTATCCAGGCGCACCGGCACCACTCGGGCCTGTGGGCACCTCTGGCCCCGGGCATCACCCTCCTCTGGGGACTGTCATTCTTTCCGCCCGGCCGGCCGCGGACGGCTCGACCCTCGCCAAGCCCCTCCGACGTCTGTGGCATCAAGCATGACCTGCTGGTCGGGGCGACCCGCTCCTCGTGCGTGCGCGGGCCGACCCGACCAGCAGCGGATTCCCAATGTAGGCCTCCTCACACTTTCCCCCCCCCCCCCCCCCCCGTAGAATGTGAGGCGCCCGCGTCATCACAGACGTGAGCCCGATCGGCTCGGAATCCCAGGCCATTTCCCTCCCCCCTGCCAGTGTGGCCAGCGACGTCGATACAGACAGGCAAGGACGGGCGTGCGCGGGCTTGGGGCTGGCGCGGCCACAGCCAGCAGTGTCCCCGCGCGCTGGCCGGAACCCCACCAACAGGCGCCCCGATGTACATGGTGACCAGTACCAAACCCCCCCCGCCTGCGAAAAGGCACAAGCCACCTGGGACGTAGAGACAAAGCCCGCAACAACGACCACGGGAGGCTCCGCAGAGGGCCGGCCGCCCGGTGTGCCCCCGCCAAAGGAGGCACCCGACGCCGCGAGCCCAGGGGCACCCCGCTCGCCAGCGGGCAAACACACCCAGGCCAGCTCGAGAGACAGAGAGAGTAGCGGCGGAAAGTGCGACAGGATGGACCCACCCCGTCGGGGCCACGAGCCACGCCCTCCCATCGAAGGGCATATGTTCCTACATATCTTGCTCAGCATTAAATATCCCCCCTTCTCCGTGCTCTGGCCCCAACGGGGCCCCCAGAAAGGGGCCGGGCTCCCCCCGGTTGGTGCATCACTGGCTGCCTCCCCCCCCCCCCCCCCCCCCGCCCCGAAGGACCGCCGTCCCGGCAGGGCGCGCGCCCGGGTGTGGCCCGGGCCCCATTTGCCGCTTCTTCGTCAGGCGCCTGCCGTCCCCCTTTTTGGGGCTCTCCCCCCTCGTCTCTGCCTCTCGGCGAGGTACCTCCTCTCTCTCTCTCCAGGGAGCGAGCGTGTTTCCGGCGGGTTGTCCCCGGGCCTTCTTCCGACGGAAGACGGAGGGACGAAAAAATAATTTCCCATACCGGGACTCGAACCCGGGTCTCGTGGGTGAGAGCCACGTATCCTAACCACCTAGACTATATGGGAGGTCATATCGGATCTCGACCGTAGGCACCTCAAATGCCCACGATGTGGGGCTGCCGCCGGATCTCGTCCGCCCCTTCGCCCGAACTTCGCGCCGGCCATGCGGCGGTGCGGATTCCTCCCTGCCAAGAACCATGGCCATCCCCAGGTGTCTGCACCGACGACGGGGTCCGTGTGCCGTGTGCGCGCCGGCCACAGCGGGGAACGGCCCGCACAGCCGCCGGGCCTCCCCCCGGCATGGAAAAGCCGAGGCGTGTTTTTGTGCACGGGCCGTCCCCAGGGTGTTTCTTGTCCTGGACGGGGGCCGAGCCGCCTCCCGCCGCAGCGGACGCACCCCTCCCGCCCGACAGTGCGTGCGCCACACATGGCAGCTGTACACACTGGCCGCGGCCGGGCACACATGGCATTCTGCACGCCAAGCGGGCCCTTTCCCATTGCTGCCTCATCCAAAAGGGCAGGGCCGCATGCCCCCCCCCCCCCCCCTCCCCACCGCCTTTTCATCCGTCGCACGCATGCACAACCACGGCAGGAGGCTGCCGAGAAAAAGATGCCACGCCCGGGGCAAAAAGTGAAGGATGCATCACCGGCAGGATTTGAACCTACGCGGGCAGAGCCCATCCGATTTCTAATCGGACTCCTTAACCACTCGGACACGGTGATCTACCCGGTGCCTCCGACACTGGACTCTTGTTGCCCTGCAGTGAGTCGGCCTCGGCCGTGCGGGGCCCGGCACGCCTGCTCTTGCCGACCTCCGCGTTGACCTGCCTCCACGGCCTGCCGCCGCCCGAGCCCCGCGTCATCCGCACCGGCCAGGGCCCTCTGGCCGATGGTCCCCCCCTCGCCAGGCCCGAGATCCTGCCCGCCCCCCTCCCTGTCGGGCCCCGTCCCGTCGGTTTCACCAGCCAGCGCTGCCCCCCCCCCTCCCCGGGCCCTGGTGGCCCATGCCACCTCGACCGATCCCCGGTCCGGCCGTGTGGGAGGTGTCCCGCCGGCATCCTCGAGCCACGCCATCGGCGGGTGCCAGCTGCCGGGTCGAGGCCGAGAACCCTGCGACCACGTCGCCCCCCGCCGCCCCGCATGTCCCTCTTCGCCCGGGCCCGGGCACCCCCCTCCACGCCGTGCCTCGCCCCGGGAAACATGTCGCCCAACTCGCGACACCCGGTCCCAAAGTGCCCATCCACACCAGGCCCCGTGGGAGTGGCGCGCCACCGCCTGCACGCGGGGCCTCCCACCACTCCAGTGCCACGGCTCGCCCGCTGCCGCCACCGACCCTGTCACGCCCCACCCCCCGAGCTCCGGCCGCAAACGCAAACACCAAACGCCGAGCCCCCCGCCCCCCAGGTCCGGCCACGCTCCAGCACCCCGGGCCCCATGACGCCTGCCATGGCCTCGCGCCAGCCGCCTGCTCGGGACTGGCCCGACACGTCGCGCGATGCCTCCCGGTGCAGGGCAGCCGCGCAAGGACCCGGGCCCCGGTGGCCGCCCATCGCACCCCCTTCCGAGCGAGCCGCGGCCCAGGGCCGAGGGCGGGGCAAGCCATCGGCCCTGACATCCGGGGCAAGATCCCGGCGTGCGATCCACCGGCCTGGCTCCGCTCTCGCGCCACCGCCCAGACTTCGCCGCATGTGCGATGTCGCTCGCGGACGATGTCCCGTGCGCCATCCGGCCGCCGGGCCCAGCGCAGCCCGTCGCACAGGGCAAACGCCCACAGCCAGGCACACGCCCGTCGGCCCGATGGCGGTGAATCCGACCCCCCCCCCCATCGACGGTGATCCCTTGCCCTTACATCCGTCTGCCAGTCGACCAGCCTTCCATGCCATCAGACTGCCCACAGCTTGGCACATGTGGGGGTCGCCGCTCGGCTCGCGCCTCCCCGGCTCGCGCCTCCCCGGCTCGCCTGCACTGCCCCATGGTCCTCGCCTGCGTGCATGCTCCAGCAGCCAGTGCATCTCCCTTTCCCACGAGGGTGTCCCGGCAGAGAGCGACAGCCTGCCCGCCAACCACTCCCCGCCCTTCTTCCCCTATCTGGCCCTCGCAGTTCTTACACTCTTGCGGAGGTCGCCGGTCGAGCGTGGCAATGCGCTTGGCGCCTGGCACCGCCCTCAGCGGCCCCCCCGGCCGCCGCTCATTTCCCGACGTATTCTTTCGTCCCAGGCCCCTTTCTCCGCCTCGATCACAGGGTGGGCCGTTCTGGGTGGCAAGCTCAGTGCCGCCTCAGGGATCCGGCCGCTGTCAGGACACGGCTAGTTCCGCGAAGGAAGGCCTTTCATTCTCTCCGGTCAAAAGCACCATTCGCACGGCCGCCGGGCCGGAGTCGGCAGGACGGCGCCCATGAAGCCCAGTCGAGTGCACCCCCCCCCCGCCCCCCCCCCCGATAGAGCCCCGGGCTTCGGCGACCCAGGGCCGAGCCGACCTCGCCGGGGCGAGACTTGTCCGCTCGGGTCACCCAAGGTAGTCCCGACCTCGGGGCACATGCCACGGGTCGATCGATGCTCGACCGGGCGCGCTTCGAGCCCCCTCGGGCCAGCCTCCCCCTGCGGCGTGCCATGAGCCCCGGTGTCCGGGTCCCCGACTCGGGGCGGCCCCTCGGGCCCGGTCGCCAATGCCCACGCTACCCAAAATGAGCCCCTCGGCCGCGAGCCCTTCCCGGCGCCGGGCGCCTCGGGGGCCTGCCGGCCATGGTCAGAGTGAAGCCGGCAACCGCGCCGCAGGCCAGTCAGCCATCTCCTCATGAAGGCGCATCACCGCCATGCATGCAAGCGCATCCCTCATGCGGCGCTTCCCGGGTCCCCAACCGCGGGCCCTCCGACCGCGGGGCGGCCGCCCGGATCGAGCATGCCCTGGTGGCCTTGGTCGATGGCCAGGTGGCCATTCACGCGCAGAGCCGGCGCGAGGCAGTCAGAGGAGATGGATCACCGCCGGACAGGCTCCATCATCCCCCTTTGTGCCGCCAGGGTGCGGGTCAGCTGCCTGCAGCCGGGCGTTCAGGCCGTGGCCAACATGCCGGCCGAAGCTGGCAGCCATGGCCGGCCCGCTCTACCGGCGCCCTGCACGCAGCCCGCAAGCCCCCATGGCCAAAGCCCGATTGGTTGCCCTGGCGTCTCCCCCCTCTCCCTCACGCACATGCACACACACACACACACACATGCGCCAGGCAGACCGGGAAAGCGCGACCATGCATGGGCGCGTGCACAGACACACACGCTCAGGCACTCGTGCACGCAGACACACACGCACAGACACTCGTGTACGCAGACACTCGTGCACAGACACACTCTCACACGCTCTCACACAGACACACTCTCACACAGACACACTCTCACACACTCTCACACTCTCACAACCACTCTCACACTCACACAACCACTCTCACACTCACACACAGGCAGGTCTATATCTTCACAAGTACGGCTGACACTGGCGCAGCCGATGCAGCGTGGTATGCGCCAGCTCGCTGGCCTGTTTCATGCCAATCCCCGGGTTGGCAGCCAGCACACGCGAAACTTCAAACGCATGCGCGCACGGATGGTGCGCATACATCGGCGCCCGGAAGGCATCGCCCTGCCGGGCACGCAGCGAATTCACCACCTGCGGCAGGGTGCACCCCAGGTCCGCGGCCACCTGGTGCAGCAGCACCGGCCGGCCGTGCCCGGTCACCGCCGCCAGCAGGGCCGGCACCTTGCGCTCCGGCACGAACATGCCCCCCGGCCCGGCCCCGGCCCAGGGGGGCTGCGCCAGGAAAAAGTACTCCGGGCAATACCGGTGCAGCATGGAATACACCCGGTCCGGCGGCAGGCCCATCTCCCGGGCCAGCTCCCGGACCGTGTACCGCATGCGCCGGGGCTTGGTCGGGTGGACCTCCGCCGCCAGACGCCGCAGCCGTCGGATGCTCGCCGGGGGCAGCTCCAAAAACCGGAACCCATACTGCCACAGCCCCTCCAGGCCGCCCCGGCCCAGGTGCTGCCGCAGGGTGGTCTCCGACTCGTCCAAGTGGTCCACCAGCTCGGCCAGCAGCAGCGGCGGCCGCAGGGCCAGGGCCAGCAGCTCCTCCGGCAGCCCCGGCCGGTACACGTCCCCGGGCTCCGGCGGCGGCCCCGGCCGCTGTGGTCGCCGGCCCCCGCGCGTCCGCCGCCGCTTGCCCTCGGCACCCGGGCCCGCTTCCGGGCCGTGGTCGGGCTGGTCGGCCGCCGGCGCCGACAGGGCCCCCTGCCCCGCCGGGATCGCCTCGCCATGAATCGGCGACCCGGCTGGCAGATACCGGCGCGCATACTCGGCCAGGGTCAGCCGCCCGTAATCCGCCGGCCGGGTCAGCTGCCGGATCGGCTGCTCCGCATTGTGCGGGATCACCGCCTCGGGCAGGAGCCGCGCCAAATGCCGGCGCACCACGCGCGCCGGCACCCGCAGCACCTGCGCCGCCCGGGCCACCGTCAGCCGCCCCGGCTCGGCGGCCAGCAGCTCCTGCAGCCGGGCCACACCCTCCGAGTCGAGGTCCCTCCCCGACAGGCGGGTCACCTGCTCGGTGTACAGCGCCGGCCCATGCGCGTCGAAGGTGGTCTGCTCCAGCCGCACCAGGGGGCTCGGCCCGGCCTGCGACACCGACCCCGTCACCAGGACCTCCCGCAGCCCGGGCAGCCGATCCACACGCACGCGCGGCACCACCAGATCCACATACTCCGGCAGGTGGGCCGCCAGGGCCTGGGACACCTCGCGACGAGGCGCCGACAGCAGCAACGCCATGTGGTCCAGGGCCAGGGCCGGGGCCACGGTGCACAGCGCCCGTAGGCGGGCCATGCTCAGCCGGCCCCCGGGCTCCGAGGCCCGGCCCATGGCCTGCGGCAGGTGCAGCTCCAGCAGGGCCGCCACCTGCCCCCGGTCCAAGCCCACCAGCCGCCCCAGCAGCGGGTTCGGAATGGGCGGATCCCGCTGCGCCAGCGTCGCCAGGTCCTCGAATGCCGGGTCCCCGGGCCGGACCTCGGGCCGCGCCTGGTCCGACGGCCGCCCCGGCCGGCCGATGGCAAACCTCGGCCCATACCGCGCCAATAGCACGCGCACCGACGCGCGATCCATGCCCAGCAGTCGGCCCATGGTGGCCACCTCGACCGCCGGCTGTGACAGCCCCGCCAGGCGCAGGAACAGCCGGAAGTCCGCCACGCTGTCGAACCCCTGCGGCAGGGGCTCCCGGCCCTCGGCGATGGCCCGGCACAGACGCTCCCCGCGCCCGGGGGCCACCGCTCGCGGCGGCTCATCCCGGCTCCCGGCCCGCCGGGCGGCCCCCCCCATGCCGGGGGAAGGCCCGTCAGGGGTGGACAAAGTGGCCCCGGCATTGGCCACAGCGAGCCCGGCGCGAGGACCGGTCCGACCATCGGCCGGAGCCTCGCCGGCAGCGATGGGAGCAGCTACCGAGCCGGGATGCGGGCCCGGCCGCCGGTCGGCCGGCAGACCCCCTCCCCGAGTCACACCCGGCAGATGGCCGGCAACATCGTCCAAAGAGCGGGGAGTCGCGCCCGCCGAAGGGGGCTCTCGGTCGGCCGGGGCATCCCCCCGGCCGGCAGTGCTACCCGGGCGTTCGGCCGCCCCATCCCCGCCACATCGATCCGCCACGCTCCGACGGCGTCGCTGGTCTTCGCCGTCCCGCCGACCGGCAGCGCCCTGGTCGGGCTCCGGCCGGCGACGCCCGGCCAGCTGGGACCACCGATCGCCAGATGGCCCGGGCACCCGGCCCGTTGACATGGCACGGCTGCCTACCACCAACATGCGACCAAAGGCCACGCGGGTGCATGTCAGCATTGACAGGGATGCGCGTCCAGGACCGAGGGGGGCACGTTCAAAAGGCCGGGGGGACGGGCAGGCAGGGAAAGGAGAAAGGAGGCAGGCACCGGACAGAGAGAGAGAGAGAGAGAGGGCGCGGAAAGGAAGGGGCAAGCTACATGCCAAGTCCCGAAGGGGCAGCCATGCCGCGTCCCGCGCGCTGATAAGTCCCCCCTGCCTTCTTTGCCGCCTCCCGGCCCCGGCCAGAGCCCATAACCACGTAAGCGGTCCGAGGGCCCGGCCGCGGCCCCATGCACCGATCGCCCGATCGCTCGTCCCGCTGTCCCCCCGCCCCCCGATTCGGGGGCGCACACACGTGTACACACACACACGCACACACGCAAGGCGCCAGTCCCCCAGGCTGGCTGGCAAAGAACCGGGGCCGGTCCGGGCTGTGCGTGGGCACCTCGTCCAATCTGAGCACCAAGGCTTCAGCCGCTGTCCCCCGTCCCCCCCGCCCCCGGACCTCCTATCCCGTCCAACGCCTCGACACTGACACGACGGCCAAAAAAGGCGGCAGGCGCGGCACATTTGTATTTCTGGCGTCCCAGCCACGGCGCGGCACCAGCGCTCCCGGCGCCCATGGCCGCTTGGTTGACGCCATCAGGAGACGGCCACCAGGGGGGGGAGGGGGGGCTCGCTCTACGCGATGGCACCCGCCCCCCGCCCGCGGCAACATGTGTGGGGGTCCTTCAATTTCCGGGCGTCAGGGATTTGAGCCACGCCTTGGCCGCCGCATGGATGTCCTTGGTGTGTTCCCGGTTTCGGGCGTACACGCGCAGGCGATACTCGATAAAGGGGCCGTCCAGGTCGGGCAGCGGCGTGTCGCGGGGCAGCAGCAGCAGCTCTTCACCCCGGCAAGAGAGGAGGCAGTCAAGGGGAGGAAAGAAAAGAAAAGAAGGAAGCGGCGAGGCCTCCCCGTGTTAGATGATGCACAGCGGGAGAGGGGCCCAGCCGAACGCGCGCACATGTGCCCGTTTTTAAGCACGTACTGTCCGGCTTGTCCTTGGAGAAGAAGAGCACCTTGACCATCGGGTCGTTCTCCTTGTCACCGTGGTGGATGGATGCCAAATCCACATGGAAATCGTCCCTCTTTCATGGCGCACACCGGGAGGGTGAGACGTCTTTCCGGCCGGATGCATGGCGGAGGGCAGAAAGAAGGGGAAGGACAGCGAAAAAAAAAAAAGACAAAAGAAAACACACGACCGGGGCAAGCAGGTCGCGCGTCAGCCCGCCCCCACCGGCGAACATACCCGGAGCTTCTCGGTGCTGTCCTTCTCAAGGATCTGGTTCTTGAGCCCATCCTCCTTGGCCGCGCGGGTCTGATACAGTTTCCGTGTTGTGAATCCCATCGGCGCACCGGGAGACCGACCTTCAGGTCAGCAACAGCGCCCGGGCCATGAGGCGGAAGGGGCCCGCTCCGATCCCCCCACACCCCCCCCCCCCCACCCCCCCCCCCCTTGCACATGCGGCGTACGCACCAGATCCCGGTACAGGGTCCTGTTGTAGAACACCTTCTCGAAGGCCAACTGATAGAGGTCGCGCTTGCGGATGCGCTCCACCAGGCCCCGGGCCTGGGCCATGCTCTTGAAGTGCTCGGACTCGCTGTTCTTGTCGCACGGCTCCGGGTCGCCACACATGCACCGCCAGCCGTGGGCCGCCGACGCGGCAATCTGGTCCAGGATGCCGTCGGTCAAGTGCACATACATGGCCGGGTTGTGGACCATGCTTGAAATGCGCAGGGCCCCGTCGGCCTTCAGTAGCGCATCCACCACCATCAGGTTGATGGCCTCGGCTGCATGTGCCATCGCGGGGGGACCGAAGTCCAGAGGTACACGGGAGTACACAGAAGCATGGAGAAGCAGAAAAAAAACCCCAGAAGCACGCAGAGACAGACAAACACACAGATACACACATACATGACGGCGGCAGCGGGTTAGAGATGCAACAGCCACACGGCAAAGCAGAAGCCATGGCCCATATGACGCACAGACGCGATGCGTGTACACATGCTTGAACAGGTTGAAGCGCGTCTGGAACATCAGCCGCAGGTTGGGGAACTCCTTCTCCGGGAAGGCGATCTGCCCCTCGACAATGCGCGCGCTGTTCACCAGGCGCATGGGGTTGTACGCGGTCTGGGCCCCGGCATTGTAGGTGTCCCGGCGGAAGTAATCAAACCGGTCCACATCGATGCCGGTGTCGTCATTGGCCACGATCTGGAAGAGGAAGCGCACTTCCGGCGAGGCATACCGCTTCAGGCTGGCCGGCACGTCGGCCTGAGCGCGCAGGCCCTTCCCACTGTCGATGACGGCCTTCACCAGGCCCGGGCTGAAGGGGATGTCGCCATTCTGCTTGGACTTGAGCCACATCAAGCCATCGGCATCCTCCTGAAGACCCAGGTACCGCAGCAGATCGTCGAGCATGTCCACCGACCCTTTCTCATGCGTCCAGTGGTCGCCCTTCGGCGCGTCGCTGGGTCATCCCATTGTCCCCGGTCATCCCGCGCCCCGCGCGCGCGCGAGCATCCACCGCCCACAGCATGGTGTTAGTATGCCCCGGCAGAAGGAAGCATCCCCCCCCCCCCCGCCCCCTGGCCCCATGTGGCCGAGTGCAAGCGCCCACACACACACACACACACACACGTACACAGCCCGGAGCATGAAGTTCCCATCAAACAGGTGGCTAAAGGGCCCGTGCCCCAGATCATGGCACAGCCCGGCGATGATCAGGCTGGTGCGTACTGCCAGGAAGTCCAGCCCGGCGAAGGCCCCCGGCTGCGTGGCCCACAGCCGATCCACCAGCGTCCGGGTCAGATGGCCCACCCCGAGCGAATGCTCGAAGCGCGTGTGCGCCGCGCTCGGGAACACGTACGACGTGATGCCCAGCTGCTTCAGGCCCCGCAGCCGCTGGAAGTGCGGCGTGTCCACGATCTGGAAGAAGTACTGCCCCCGGTCGGTCGGCACGACGGGACCAAAGGCCCAAGCAAGGGCACGAAGGAAATACATGACCACCATCAGCACCGGGCCCAAGAGGAAGGTGGCACATCCGCCCGCCCGCGTGGAGGCGCAGCAGGGGAGAAGAGGAAAAGGACACATGGGGCGAGCGAGCGAGCGAGAGAGAAAGGCAGTACCTCTTCCAGGGCGTAGTCGTTGTGGATGCTGTCGTTCAGAGTGCGCAGCTCATGGTTGATGGACACCCCGGGAGGGAGGGGCTCGGACTTGGAGACCATGGCCGAGGGTGTGCGTGGAGAGAAGGGATGTGCGTGTGAATGTGTGCACGCGCACGGGAAAGACCGAAAGAAAGAGGCAAGATGGAGTGAAATCCGATGCCAGGCCACGCCCGGGGCCCCAGCGTCATTTATATGCCGCCCTTGCCCCGGGCCATCAGGCGGACCGAGGCCGGCGCCCGGGCGATCGAGCGACGGGCCGCCCCCGGGGCCTCGCCGGGCAGATCGCTGGCCCCGCCCCGCCCCGTCCCGCCCCCCAGTCGCGTCCATCGCCCTCGCGACTCATGCGGCCTGGTGTGTGCTGCTCGGGTTTCGTGCCTCCGGCCGGCCCCCCGCTCCGTTCTCGGCAAAGAGCAAACACCCGGGGCGCGCCAGGCGTGTGTCTGGCGCCATTGGCCCCCCCCCCCCCCCCCGCCGCCGTCGTCCGACCAGCCAATGTGCGTTCGGCCGGTAGACACACAACAAACGCCGGTAGGCCCCCGCCCCGAGGCACGTGCATCAACGCCCGCCGAGCCCAGTATATTTACTGCCCAGGAGGAGCCGACCGCATGATGCCAGCGCACGGAGGGACCATCCAAGGCAGGCACACACATCCAGCCCCCTGCCGACCCCTGCGGGGGAAAACAAACAGAGCATTTTCGCGACGCGGGGTCGTGGCCCCCGTATCATGAGCCGACGTCGTCGGTCACATGCACCCATGAGCGCCGGACCCCCCGATTGGCACCGGCATCAAGCACCAGGCCCACGGGTCGGCCATGCTCAGAGGGGCCATGCTGAGAGCCCGCCAGGCGAGAGGCATTAATTCAGAACAGGGAGCGTGTCCGCGGCGCCTGCCTGCGGGGGGTGTGCGCCCGCGCCGGGGCACCCCGCGGTCGGCCGCCGCGCGTGGCCTACCGGCGAGGCGCCGCCCCTTGGGCCCGGGTTCTCTGGTGCTCGAACCACTCCCTCGTCGCCTGGTGGATGCGGGCCTTGTCCTGCTTGTTGCGCACATACACGCGCACTCGGTACTCCCCGAAGGGTCCCTTGAAATCCGACGCGACACTGCCGGACCTGTCCAGCAGCCCTTTGCGCGGGGGGGGGCCGGCCATTCGGTCGATGGTTCGGTCGATGGTTGAATGTTGATCGAGTCGATGGTCCAGCCAGTTGTACAGTCACCCAAGCGGCCAATCGTTCGGTCAGTTGTCTAGCCAGTTGCTTGGCCAATCAGCCGCTCGCTTGGCCATTGCACAGTACGATGCACCTCCCCCCTCCACAGCCAGAGGGCCGCCCACGGCCAAAAGGCGGTCACCCGCACGCCCCCATCCCCTCGGCCGCGGAGGACGCACTGTCCGGGTCTTCCTTGCCGAAGAACAGCACCTTCCGCATGGGGTCCTCCGCCCTGGCCCCATGGTGAATGGTGGCCAGCTGCACATGCATGTGGTCCTGCGCGAGCGGCACCCCCCGTCGAGGCAGGCCCGGTTAGCCGGGCACACAATGCGGCCACCGTGGCCCGTCACCTGCAGCGTTTCCCCGCCCTCCTCGCCCGCCCGGCCCGCCGCGTGTGTCACACCTACCATCGCCGGGTCCGCTGTGCTCTGGAGGATTTCGCTCTTGAGTGCCTCCTCGCCAATGGCCGCCAGGTGGGCGCTCTGCACCCGGCCAGCCATCGGCCACCGGCCGCCGTCCAGGTCAGTGAAATGCCCGACCGCCGCCTGCGAAGAGCCCGCCGCCCGCCCTGCCCCCCACACCCACGCACATGCGCGGGCATGTGCAACACGCGCACCAGGCTCCCATGCAGCGCATGGTCATAGAACACCTCCTCGAAGGCCAGCTTGTAGAGGTCGCGCGTGCGGATGCGCTCGACCAGGGCCCGGGCCCGGGCCATGCCCTTGGCATGCCGCGACTCGCGGTTGTCCGCGCAATTGTCCCGGGCGTCGCACTGGCACCGCCACCGGCGCGTGCCCGACGCCGCAATCTCATCCAGAATCCCATCATTCAAGTGCATGTACGCCGCCGGGTCATGGATCATGCTGGAAATGCCCAGCGCCCCGTCGGCCTCCAGCAGCGCGTCCACCGCCATCAGGTTGACGATCTCCGCTGCAATGGTCCCCGGGCCCTTGCGACGCATTAGTGCCCGGAGCCTCCTGCCGGTGGATCGTGCATCTCCCGCCCCCGCCCCCCGCCCCCGCCTTGGCCTGGACCCTGACGACACGCACACACCCGGTGCGTGTACACCTGCCTGAACAGGCTGAAGCGCGTCTGAAACAGCAGCCGCAAGTTGAAGAACTCCTTCTCCGGGAAGGCGATCTGCCCCTGGACAATGCGCGCGCTGTTCACCAGGCGCATGGCCACGTAGCTCACCTGCGACCCGGCGTTGTAGGAGTCCCGGCGGAGGTAGTCAAACCGGTCGACATCCACCCCGGTATCGTCGTTGGCCACGATCTGGAAGATGAACCGCACCTCGGGCCTGGTGTATGGGGCCAGGCTGCCCGGGGCAGGGGCCAGCCCCCCGGGGCCGCCGGCGATGATGGCCTTCACCAGCTCCGGATGGAAGGCTGCCGGCGCGGCCCGGCCAAAGGTCACCACCCCCTGGGCATTCGGCTCCAGACGCAGGAACCCGAGCAAATGGTCGAACATATCGACCGAGCCCTTTTCGTGCCTCCACGCCGGCGCCCGGGGGCGGCCATCGGCCTGGTGCCGGGCGCTGTGCCGGCCATGTGCCCACATCGGGCCCGGCGCCCGCCCGATCTCGTGCATGGGGTCAGCTTGGTTGCCTCGGGCATGGCGGATGATGGGCCGCGCCCGGAGGATGCCCCGAACGCACGCGGCCCGGGGGAGGAAGTTCCCATCAAACAGGTGGCTAAAGGGCCCGTGCCCCAGGTCATGGCACAGCCCGGCGATGATCAGGCTGTTGCGCACCACCGGGAAGTCCAGCCCGGCGAAGGCCTCCGGCTGCGTGGCCCACAGCCGATCCACCAGCGTCCGGGTCAGGTGGCCCACCCCGAGCGAATGCTCGAAGCGCGTGTGCGCCGCGCTCGGGAACACGTACGACGTCACGCCCAGCTGCTTCAGGCCCCGCAGCCGCTGGAAGTGCGGCGTGTCCACGATCTGGAAGAAGTACTGCCGCCGGTCGGTGGCCCGCGGCCGCCCCCCCCCCCGGCCACCGCCGTGAGGGTACACCCGCGCGTCAGTGTACGCCTCCCTAAACACCCATGCGGCTGGGCTAGCGCGTGTTACACCCCCCCCCCCCCCATCGGCCACCGGTCCGAGGTACCTCCTCCAGCAGATAATCCCCATGGATGCTGTCATTCAGGTTCCGGAGTTTGTAGCGTGGCTGCCGCCCGGCGCGGTCGCCGTCAGGAGCCTCCACTCGCACGGCCGCCGGCCCTGGCATGCCCTCAGCCGTCATGGTGTTTGTACTTGGTGCTGTGCCTGCCGCGCGTCAATGGTGTGGCGCGCCGGTGTGTCAGAGGGATGGGCGGGTGTTTGAGCGTGAATGCGTTCGCGAGACAGGGGCCAGGCAGGGGAGGAGGAAGGCCGATTTTTCTGGGCCACTCACATCCCAGCAGGGCCTCCTCGCTCAAGTATCCCGCGCCGCGCGCCCCTCCCCCTGGGCCCCTCCCCCCGGCGTGTGTGTGTGTGTGTGTGCGTGGCGCCCGGCCGCCCCTCGCCGCACGCTGGCCGCCGAGAGTGCCCCACGCCAGGGGGCTCCCGGCGCCCCAGCCGAGGCTCGCCTCTCGGCTGACAACCGCCCGGGCGCCCTGCCGTGGGTTGTCATCGCGGGGCGGAGTGGGGAAAGCAAATAGCTAAGCCCCCGACATGGGGCCGGACGCCCCCCCTCCCCCGTCCCTTCCCCCTCGGCGTGCTACCTTCGTGCTTGCACGGCCGCCGGCAGAGCCGCCCATCGCCGCACGGCATGGGCCATGCTTCTCGGCAGGATGCAGCGACACCACGCAAAGGGGGCACCCGAGCCGGCCCGGCGATCGGGCCGACCCTCTCTGGCCCGCAGCGGCGCCGGCCACCAGCCAGCCATCAATTGTGGGGTGACACATTGTCCGATTTCCCCCCCCGGCGGTCGACGACGCTCGTCGGGTGGGCGAAAGGCACGGGGATCAGGCGCGGCGGCCCCGTGGACGCTCACGTGCCACCGGCGGGTTAAGACCGGGCGCGGCCGTAAACCCACCCTGCCCTTGGTTGGCTTGTTGCAGCCGCCGCCGCCGCCGCCACCGGAGAACGCCCGGCCGTGTTTACCACACTTTGTCAGAGGTATTCAACATTCCCCCCCGCCCAGCGGCGGGTCCCGCCGCAAGGCGCGGCGCGCGAGGCTGCCGAGGCCGGGGCCCCGGGCCGTCGGTCGGGCCATGCCGGTCGGGCTTGGGCCGGGCGTGCTCGATCGCCCGGAGAAGGGCCCCTGTCCCCTCGCGCCCCCCCCCCCCCCCCGATCGGGGCTTCGATCGGCGCCAGATCGCGCAGCGCCGATCTCCCTCGCGGCACGCCCCTCCCTCCGGCCACCCGGCACGGCCCGGGCCTCCTGCTACCGCCCAAGTGGCTGCGACAGGGCCCCACAGCAGGCAACGAGCCCTCGCGCGCCGGCCACATCTGCCGGATGTCCCCGGAGACGGCATCGCATTGGGAAGGGCATATCGCCCCGGCCACCGATCGGCCGGCCTGCGGGTCGCCCTCATCTGCGGGGCTGACCGTCTCTGCTGCCCCGGGGCCCCCCTTCCCCCTGCCAGGCGGCCCCGGGCGGCTCCTCTCGGCCCCGGTCATGCCTCCCGCCCGGGGCAGCGCATGCGAGGGGCGTGTTCTTTTTGGGTGCCCAGCCCGACCCCCACCGCCTGCTCCTCCCCCCCGCAGATGGCACCGCCCTCCTCCCCTCCTCTCCCCCCCCCCCGCCCCCGCCCCCTGTTTGTGCCCCGTCCCACCTGTCGGGGCCCATTCGCTCACCCCCCGCCCCCCCCATGGTCGGCCGCCACCCTCGTCCCAGGGCCCCGCTCCTGGGCATCCTGCTCTTGCTGCTGCTGCTGCTGCTGCTCCGGCCCGGCACATCGGGCGCCCTCGCCCGACGCGGTGTCTCCCCCCCGGGCCCGGCGCCGGTGTCCCTGGCGATGGCCGACGCCCCGGGACCGGCCAGCCCCACGGCCGACCCGCCAGCATGCCACCCCACCTGTGCCCAGTGCTTCGGGCCCACCGGGCAGGACTGCCTCCGGTGCCCGGACGGGCGGGCCCTCCACCAGGGGGCCTGCCTGCCGGCCTGCCCGGCCGGCTTCTTCCCCACCCCCTCCACCGAGGGCACCCTCTGCCGGAGCTGCCACACATCGTGCGCCGGCTGCATCGCCTCGGACGCCGGGGCCTGCACCGCCTGCCAGCCGGGGCTGGTGCTGCTCGAGGGCCGGTGCCAGCCCGGGGCCTGCCCGGCCGGCACCTTCCCCGACCCGACGTCCGACAGCGCCCCCTGCCGCGCCTGCCACCGGTCGTGCTCCACCTGCACCGGGCCGGATGCCGGGCACTGCCTCTCCTGCCCCGGGCATGCGGTGCTCACCGGCGATGGGGCCTGCCGGCCGGCCTGCCCGGCCGGGCACTACCTCTCCCCCGATCGGGTGCCCTCCTGCCGGGCATGCCATGCCACGTGCGCGGCCTGCCGGCACGGCCAGGCGGCCGACTGCACCGCCTGCCCGGCCGGCCGCCAGCTGTCCCTCGGCCGGTGCGTGTCCCCCTGCGGCCCGGGGGCCACCCTCCACCAGGAGGCCTGTGTCGCCTGCCATGCCTCCTGCACCGAGTGCTCCGGCCCCGGGCAGGGCCACTGCCTGGCCTGCTCGGCGGGCCTCTGGCTTGGGCCCGATGGCCGGTGCCTGGGCCAATGCCCGGCCGGGTGGTTCCCCGAGCCGGCCCCCGGCCGCCGGTGCCTCGCCTGCCCGGCCCCCTGCGACCAGTGCGTCAGCTCCACCGAGTGCACCGTCTGCCGGGCGGGCTGGCAGCTGGACCCGGGGTCCAGCACCTGCCGGCCGGCCGCCGGGGCCTGTCCCCAGGGCCGGTACCCGGCCGCCGGCAAGTGCCTCCCCTGTCACCACTCATGTCGCGCCTGTTCCGGCCCCTCGGAAGCCGAGTGCCTCCTGTGCCCGGCGCACCGGGTGCACTGGCCCGGCGCCGGGACCTGCCCGCTGGTCTGCCCGGCCGCCGAGTATCTGGAGTCCGGCGACCCGCCGGACCCGACCGGCCGCCGGTGCGCCCCCTGTGCCCGCGGCTGCCGGGCCTGCGCCGGCCCCTCGCCCAGCGCCTGCTCCCAATGCCAGGCCCCCTTCCTGCAGGTCGGCGACCAGTGTCTGGCCTCCTGCCCGGCCGGCTTCATCCAAGTCCCGGACCTGACCCAGCCGGATGTGGCCTCCTGCCGGGCCTGCCCGGCCCCCTGCACCGCCTGTGTGGCGGTCCTCCAGCAGGCCGGCGACCCGGCCTGCCTGGCATGCTCCCCGGGATATGCCCTGGTGCCGGCCGCCCCGGGCGGCCCGGGGTCCTGTGTCTCCTGCCCGGCCCGGTGCCTGGAATGCTCGGACCCGGCCCGGTGCCACCGGTGCGAGGCCGGCTTCCAGCCGGACCCCTCCTCCGGGGCCTGCCTGCCGTCCTGCCCCCCGGGGACCTGGTTCCACCCGACGGCCCGGGCCTGCCAGCCCTGCGCCGGCCCCTGCGCCCGGTGCCTCGACGCCCCGGACCACTGCACCGCCTGCACCCCGGGCACCTACCTCTCGCAGGGCACCTGCGCCGGCTGCCATGCCTCCTGCTCCGAGTGCCAGGGCGAGGCCGCCTGCACGGCCTGCGCCCCGGGGCTCGTCTTCCCCGGCCCCCCCGGGCAGTCCCTCTGCACGGATGCCTGCCCGGCCGGGCAATTCGCCGACCTCCCGGCCGGCCGGTGTTCGCCCTGCGTCGGCCCCTGCGCCGAGTGCCTCGGCGCCGCGGACCGCTGCACCGCCTGCCTGCCCGGGGCCTTCCCGGCCGGCGGCACTTGCGCCGCCTGCCACGGCTCCTGCGCCACCTGCCCCGGGCCCGAGGCATGCGCCACCTGCGCCGAGGGGCACCTCTTCGCCGGGGCCCCCGGGCAGTCCCTCTGCCTGGCGGCCTGCCCGGCCGGCACCTTCCCCGACTCGGCCGCCGGCCGGTGCACCCCCTGCCATGCCACCTGCGCCGCATGCACCGGCGCCGCGCGGCAGTGCACCGCCTGCGCGCCGGGCTTCCGCCCGGAGGGGCCTTGGTCCGAGGCCGGCCGGTGCGTGGCCTGCCCGGATGGGTGTGCCGGCTGCGACGCGGCCGGCCGGTGCACCGCCTGCGCGCCCGGGCTCCAGCTGACCCCGGCCGGGCAGTGCGCCTCCGACTGCCCGGCCGGGCACTACCCCCAGGCCGACGCCTGCCTGCCCTGCCACGAGTCCTGCGCCTCCTGCTCCGGGGCCCGGGCATGCGGCACCTGCCAGCCGGGGCTCGTCTTCGCCAGCCCCGATGGCCTGCCCTCGCTGTGTGTCTTCTCCTGCCCGGAGGGGCACTTTGCCGACCCCCAGTCCGGGCGGTGCGCCGCCTGCCATGCCTCCTGCGCGGCCTGCACCACCGCCGCCGGCCAGTGCACCGCCTGCGCGCCGGCCTTCCGCCCGGAGGGGGCCTGGTCCACCGCCGGCCGGTGCGTGGCCTGCCCGGCCGGGTGCGCCGCCTGCGACCCGGCCGGCCGGTGCACCGCCTGCACCGGGGCCCTGCTCCTGACCCCGGGCGGGGCCTGTGAGTCGTCCTGCCCGGCCGGGCAGTTCGCCGCCTCCGGCCGCTGCCACCCCTGCCGGGCCCCCTGCGTCCAGTGCATCGACACGGCCGACCACTGCATCACCTGCATCCGCGGGACCTTCCTCCGGGAGGCGGTCTGCACCGCGTGCGATGCCTCCTGCGCGGCCTGCTCCACGGCCCAGGCCTGCAGCACCTGCGCCGAGGGGCACCTCTTCGCCGGGGCCCCCGGGCAGTCCCTCTGCCTGGCGGCCTGCCCGGCCGGCACCTTCCCCGACCCGGCCGCCGGCCGGTGCGCCCCCTGCCATGCCTCGTGCGCGGCCTGCACCACCGCCGCCGACCAGTGCACCGCCTGTGCGCCGGCCTTCCGCCCGGAGGGGGCCTGGTCCGAGGCCGGCCGGTGCGTGGCCTGCCCGACCGCCTGCTCGGCATGCGACCCGGCCGGCCGGTGCACCGCCTGCACCGGGGCCCTGCTGCTGGCCCCGGACGGCACCTGCGCCTCGGCCTGCCCGGCGCACACCTGGCCCGACACCGGGGCCCGCGTGTGCCGGCCCTGCCAGGCCCCATGCTCCCGGTGCACCGGGCCCCGGGCCTGTGTCTCCTGCCTGCCCGGCACCTACCTCGACCGGGACGCCTGCCTGCCATGCGACGCCTCGTGCGCCGCCTGCCCCGGGCCCGCGGCATGCGACACCTGCGCCCGGGGGCTGCTCTTCGCCGGCGAGCCCGGCCACTCGCTCTGCCTGGCGGCCTGCCCGGCCGGCACCTTCCCGGCCGTCGACCGGTGCGCCGCCTGCCATGCCACCTGCGCCGCATGCACCGGCGCCGCGCGGCAGTGCACCGCCTGCGCTCCGCGCCACCGGCCCGAGGGGGACTGGCCGGCCGGCGGGGCCGGCGGCCGGTGCGTCCCCTGCCCGGCCGCCTGCACCGCCTGCGACCCGGCCGGCCGGTGCACCGCCTGCGCGCCCGGGCTCCAGCTGACCCCGGCCGGGCAGTGCGCCTCCGGCTGCCCGGCCGGGCACTACCCCCAGGCCGACGCCTGCCTGCCCTGCCAGGCCCCCTGTGCCGAGTGCACCGGGCCCGGGCACTGTCTCTCCTGCCCCCCGGGGGCCTTCCTCCAGCTGGACACATGCGCCGAGTGCGATGCCTCCTGCGCGGCCTGCTCCGACGGCCGGTCCTGCGATGTCTGCCGGCCGGGGCACTTTTTCGCCCGGCCCGCCGGCCTGCCCGGCCTGTGCCTGGACGCCTGCCCGGCCGGCTCGCTGCCGCTGGCCGGCCACTGCACCCCCTGCCATGCCTCGTGCGCGGCCTGCGCCACCGCCGCCGACCGGTGCACCCGCTGTGCGCCGGCCTTCCGCCCGGAGGGGGCCTGGTCCGAGGCCGGCCGGTGCGTGGCCTGCCCGGCCGGGTGCGCCGCCTGCGACCCGGCCGGCCGGTGCACCGCCTGCACCGGGGCCCTGCTCCTGGCCCCGGACGGCACCTGCGCCTCGGCCTGCCCGGCCGCCACCTTCCCCCACGACCGGGCCGTCTGCCTGCCCTGCGACCCGTCCTGCTCCCGGTGCACCGACGACCAGGCCTGCCTCGAGTGCGCCCCGGGGCTGGTCTTCCTCTCGCCCGACCCCGGGGCCCGGTCTCTCTGTGTGGGCACCTGCCCGGCGGGGTTCCTGCCCGAGGGCCCCCGGTGCCTGGCCTGCGTGGCCCCCTGTGCCCGGTGCACCGAGGCCCCGGACCGCTGCACGGCCTGCCTGCCGGGGCTCCGCCTGGCCGAGCCGGCCGAGCTGGCCGCCCAGCCGGCCGCCCAGTGTGTCCCCTGCCCGGCCGAGTGTGCCGGCTGCCTGCCGGACGGCCGGTGCACCGCCTGCCCGGATGCCCCGGGCCCCGGGGCCCGGCCGGTCTTGTCGCCCTTCGGCCGATGCCTGGCCCACTGCCCGGCCGGCTGGTATGCCGACCCGGAGGCCGGCCGCTGCCGGCCCTGCAACGGCTCGTGCGCCACCTGCTCCGGGCCCTCGGCCTGCGACACCTGCCAGCCGGGGCTGGTGTTCCTGGCCCCGGGCGCCCGGCCGGCCGAGGCCCCTGACCCGGCCCCCCCCGGGCCCGGGGGCACCCTTTGCACGGACGTCTGCCCGGCCGGCCAGGTCCCCGGCCGGACGCCCGACCCGGCGGCCAGCCCGCAGTGCGTCCCCTGCGCCGGGGCCTGCGCGACGTGCGTCCACACCCCGGACCAGTGCGTGGCCTGTGCCCCCGGGCACCGGCCGCACACGCCCCACGACCTGCCCGGCGCCTGTGTCCCCTGCCCGACCGGCTGCCACGACTGCCTGGACAATGGCCGGTGCTTGGCCTGCCTGCCGGGCTCCGGCCTGGTGTTGACCCCGGCCGGGCGATGTGCCGCCGCCTGCCCGGACGGCTGGTTCGCCTCCGGCCACGGGCACTGCCTCCGGTGCGCCGACGAATGTGCCACCTGCACCGGGCCGCTGCCGGCCCACTGCACGGCCTGCCGCCCGGGCGCCAGCCTCCTGCCGGCCCCCGGCCCCGGCCACTGTGCCACCCCCTGCCCGGCCGGCCACTTCCGTGATGACACCTCCCCCGAGTGCCGGGCCTGCCACCGGGACTGTGCCTCCTGCACCGGGCCCACCTCGGGCCACTGCGTCGAGTGCTCGGCCCCCGGCCTCCTCCAGCTGGATGGCCACTGTGTGGACGCCTGCCCCGACAGCTTCTTCCCCCAGGCCGGCCGCCGGTGCGTCCGGTGCCATGGGGCCTGCCACGCCTGTGCCGGGCCCGGCCCGGGGGACTGTCTCTCCTGCCCGGCCGGCCTGGTGGCCCTGAGCCTGGTGGCCGCCGGCCGGCCGCGCGCTTGCGGCAGCTTCTGCCCGGCCGGCTCGGCTCTCGACCCGGAGGCCGTGGCCTGCCGCGCCTGCCCGGCCGACTGCCCGCAGTGCGACGCCGCCGGCGTCTGCCAGGCGTGCGGCCCCGGGTGGCTGCTTGCCGCCGGTGCCCCGGCCTCCGCCGGCATCTCCGCCCCCCTGGCGGGCCCGGGCCCGGGGCCGGGCCCGCCGCAACCCGCATGCATCCGCGGGCCCGACTGTCCGGCCGGCGCCGCGCCGCACGGGACCCGGTGTCTTGCCTGCGCCGCCGGGTGTGCCACCTGCGCCGGGCCCGAGGCCGACCAGTGCCTCACCTGTGCCCCGGGCTTCGACACGCCCTTCGAGGGGGCCTGCCTGGCCGCCTGCCCCCAGGCCGGGTACTTCCCGCATCCGCGCACCGGCCAGTGCGTCGGCTGCCATGCCTCCTGCCTCGCCTGCACATCCATCCAGGAGGACGCCTGCACCGCCTGTCCCCCGGACCATGCTCTCTGGCAGGGCACCTGCCTGGCCGCCTGTCCGGCCGGCACCTTCCGCCAGGCCCCCGACTCTCCGGACGCCTCGGGCTCTTCGGGCCACCAGGACGCCCCGGGCTCTTCGGGCCACCAGGACGCCCCGGGCTCTTCGGGCCACCAGGACGCCCCGGGCTCTTCGGGCCACCAGGACGCCTCGGGCTCTTCTGACCACCAAGGCGCCCCGGCCCCCCCCGGCATGCAGGACGCCCCGGTCCCCTCCGGCTACCGGTGCATCCCCTGTGACTCGGAGTGTGCCGGGTGCGAGGGCCCGGGCCCGGGCCACTGCACAGGCTGCCCGGCCGGGCGCCTGCTCGGGCCCGATGGCCATTGCCTCGACGAGTGCCCGACCGGCTTCGGGCCCTGCCATTCGGACGGCCGGTGCATCCGCTGCCCGGCCGGCTGCGCTCGCTGCCAGCCGGCCCCGGACCAATGCCAGTCGGGCGTCTGCCTGGCCTGCCAGCCCGGGCTCTTCCTCGGCCTCGACAGCCAGTGCCACGACGCCTGCCCGGTGGGGGAGTTCCCGCCGGCCAGCGTGCCGGGCCAGTGCTTCCAGTGCGCCAAGGCGTGCGCCTCCTGCGCCTCCTCGGCCGAGGCGTGCACCTCCTGCGCCGATGCCGACCACTGGCTGGTCCTCGGCACCGGCGAGTGCACCCGGGCGGCGTGCCCGGAAATGGGCTTCGCCACTTTCCACGACCCGGCCATCGGCCGCGTGTGCATCCCCTGCCATGTGGCCGGGTGCGAGTTTTGTTCCCTGCCTCCGGCTGCCGACCCGGGCTGCCGGCGTCTGGCCGACCGGGGCATCACCTGTCCGGACCTTGACCGCTGTGACCGCTGCGCCTCCGGGCGAAGCATCCTCCCCGGGGGCCAGGCCGCCGACCAGTGTGTGCTCGCCTGCCCCGGGGGCTTCTTCAGCTCCTCCACCCCGGGCAGCGGCGCCCTCCGGTGCATGAACTGTGCCCCGGGCTGCAACCACTGCCAGGGGCCGCTGCCGGTCGACTGCCTCGACGAACGGCCCGAGCCCTCTTCTCGGCCGCTCGGTGCGTCGCGCCTCCCCCGTGTCTGTGTTCCCCCGCCCGGGGGCGCGACCTCCGCGTATCTCCCTTGCCTCATGCTCTCTCTCTTTCTCTCTCTCTCTCTCTCTCTCCTCTCCGAGCACAAATGACGAGCTAACAGACCCCCACACTCGTCCACCCACCCACCCGCACATACACACACACACACACACACACACACACACACACACACACACACACACCGATAAGCCCTTGGTCTCGGCATCGGCATCGGCTCCGCCCTGCTCATCCTGCTGATCATCGGCGTCATCGTGCTGGTCATCGTCCGGCGTCACCGGGCTCCACACTTGCTACTGCCCAAGGTGCGCCGGTCTCCCCCTGCCTCGCCCTTTTCGCGCGCCTGCAGCCGCCAGCCCAGCCCATGCGCATGAGGGATGCCCACCCTGGTTCACTGACGCTCTCTGCCCGATGCCACAGACCACTGCCCCGGATTACGGTACGCCGTCGTCTCGGCTTCTGTTTGAGCCTTTCGCCCGGTCCACGCCGCTGCTTTGCCTTGCTCAGTCTTCGGGTCTCTTGCTCTCCTGCCCCCTTTCTCTCTCTCACACACACACACACACGCACCCACACTCTGTCTCCCGCCCTCCGCCCCTTCCCCCTTCCAAAACCCAGACGCGACGGTCCTTAATACCTTGCCGGAGCTCAGCATGCCCGGCGCGGCCCTCGTCTCCGCCGACTACGACTTCATCCCCATCGAGGAGGGCAAGCTCGGCGAGGGGGCCCAGGCGTCGGTTTACTCGGCCCGCGTGGTCGGCGACGGCCTGATCTCTCGACTCCGCTGCCCGGCCATCGTGGCCATCAAGCGCAGCAAGGGTACGCTCCTCCTCCTCCTCCTCCTCACCGGGCAATGCCTCCCCCCGTCCCTCCCCCCGTGACGCCATCCGCTGACCGGCGCCCGTCCCTGTGCCAGAATCCATCCAGGACGACCTTCGCGACTTCCTCTTCCAAAATGAGATCTCCCTCATGTGGTCCGTGTCATCCCCATAACCGCCTGCCGCCGTTCTCTGGCCCTCTCCGACCGCATGCGCCCGCCCGGGTGCTCTCCCTCGCGGCCCCACACCCACACATGTGCACCAGTGCTTACACATAGGTCGCCCCTCGCCTGTGACTCGCATCCCCTCGCCCCGGCCTCCCGCGCCCGGCACAGGCTCGCCCGCGGCCAGCCCAACATCGTCCAGATCTTCGGGTACTCCGAGCGCCCGCAGGCCCTGATCATGGAGAAGTTCGACTCCTGCCTACAGACGCTGCTCTTCTCCGGCGTGGCCCTCGCCATGGACGAGTCCCTGGATCTCATGGCCGACGTGGGTGCGTGGTCGCTCCCATGCCTGGCCCCCCCTCCCGCTCCTCCCCCTCCCGCGCGCGCGCCCCCTCGCCACGTGTCCC